GTATTGTAAAGTTGTGTGAATTTTTCAATAAATTCTTTTGTCAAAACCACTTGCAATCTGATTCATAGCTGAGCGCCTTGCCGCCGGTTACAGTGGCACCGAGCATAATACTTAACGAAGCAAATATAAACAATTTATAACTATTCGTTTTCGAAGCTTTGCTCGTATCAAAATACCTCTCTGGTCGGCCATGCTGAAAGGTTTTGCCTCCGTTTGTGATGCAGAAGTCGCGAAGATTAATCAACTTTAGATTATTCTCTCTTAAGATAATTATTTTTGTTCATTACGAGCAAGAGTGCTTTTTTAATTCGTGAATACGCTAAACAAAGAAAAGAGTTATTGTGAAGGATCGAAATATGCAAATGTGTTACGAACCACTGGTAGTCCATGCTGTTTGACAAAGAGTTCGTAAAATGAATTATCTTTGACAGTACTGATAATATATATTAAGGCACTGCCTAAAAGCGCATCTTAAAAGTAAACATCTTAAAAGATGAAGAGTTTAAGCTTTCCAGACAAGCCTTGATGTCCAGACGACGAGAATTAACAAAGGAAGGCAAAGGAAACAAGACAAATGCTACTGCTCCTCTGACAAGCAAAGAGATTGATGCTATTTTTAATGAAAACGAGTTTGGAGTCCATGATCCAGAGATCCTTTCCCGTACTATGTGGTTCTTGCTTACTTTGCACTTTGGTCATAGAGCACGACACGAAGCGAGACAGCTGAAGTTTGGAGACGTACTTTTGAAGAAAGATGAAATAAATGGCGAAGAGTATGTAGAGTGGTTCCAAGAAAGAGAAACTAAAACCAGACACGGCGATGAAAATTAACACCAGAGAGCTTTCCGACCAAGGGCTTATGAGAGCCGCGACAAGAAATGTCCTGTGGCCTGCTATAAGCAGTTTGTTTACAGGCGTCCCGAAGAAGCCAAAAGTCCAGAAAGTCTGTTTTTTCTTGCTATAAACCATAGAAGGCCAAATGATCAAGTGTGGTTTCTAAACAGACCGATGGGAAAGAACAAGATTGGCGAATTCCTGTCTCAAGCAACAAAAGATTTGAAGTTCACGAAGTCAAAAGCCGGTAAAATTACCAACCATTGCGTACGTAAAACTGGTATCACAACACTCCTGGATGCTGGTGATCCACACAACATTGTCGCTTAATTGAGTGGCCATAAGAGCCTTAAAAGCCTTGACAGTTATGCGGTTGCCTCTGAGAGCCAACAACGAAACATGTCGAAGATACTGAGTCAAGCAATCATGTCTCCCAGCGCAACCGACTACAAGTTCAACTGCCGCTGCAGGTTCTTTTTTGGGGGGAGCAAACATTGGAGTATTGAACATTCAGAATCTTGTTCTTCCAGGCCATGAAGAAAGCTCTAGTTCATGTCTGGTCAAACCCAAGAAACGTCGTTTTATGATCGAGTCAGATGAAGAAAACGTTGAAATTTGTCCATGAAAACACTTAGAGTTGACATAGACATTCTTGAGTTCCCAAGCTGCTATTTTTTCCCGACTTTTGACCAAATAGCTTTTTCCGAAGTGTAGTAGGAAACTTATTAAAACTTTCAATGGTATTAAAAACAATTTTACTTCTTGAAATGTGCCTCGTGTTTACAGTGACTGTTAAATGGCTTCTTTTCAATCAAATAAAAAGAAATTCTCCTATTGGTTCTCGTTTACGCGCGCTGTATTTATCAAGTTTAGCAAGATCTTTCAGCCTTTTTTTACGATAAAAATTGGGTCATATGATAAAATACTTATTGACTGAGTTGGGTCGGGCCGGACGGGAAAATATTTGGCTCTTGGTCATTTGTACGGACCTGACATGACCTCGAGCCAAATATTTTCCCGTCCGGCCCTCCCACTCAGTCAATAAGTACATAATATTGTGGTCATCGATTTGAACTTTTGATTGTGGTCATCGATTTGAACTTTTGATTGTGGTCACTGATTTGACTCTTCAGGTGAGGTCAGCTCAGGTCAGCTTTAACATTTAGTAATTGTGTCGCGGAAAGAAAGGGCAAAAGTAACCCATTACAGTGCAAGTAATTCGAAATAAAACGAGTTTGCCATGGTGCATTTGATTTTGTACAGGCATCAAACGGAACGAAACAAAAGCCTGCGATTTTTGTGACGGGTCTGAATATGCTAATAACTCACTCATTCACTCGCTCACTAAGATATTAGCAGATCAATAATTAAACGTTGATCAATCGTCTTGCGTTATCTGCTTAAGAACGTTACGCGAAACGTTCGGAGTTTATACAAGCACGTACAAACCTCTTATCCAATAAACAGTTGACAAGCTATTTATGTTAGTCAGGAGCTGGAATTCCATTTTTCGACATGGGATGATGTCTAGTTAACTAATTAAATCTGTCAGCATAAGTACTTAAGTCTTTTACTTCTTCTTTCTAGGTGCCATCTCCCGAAAGCAGTCAGTGGAATTGCAAGCTGTAAATCGATATTTTCCGAAAAGTTATTTGCAATCTGGTTGGCTTACCCTTTTTCCTTAGATTACGTGGTTTAAAGAGGTTGAACAGCATACAAAGTCGAATGGCAATCAATGTGGAAGCGGTTGAAAACGCATTTGAATGGGAAACGTTCGAGGATGGAAAACCATATCTTGGCACCTACAAGCATGAAATACCAAGTACGTACACATCTGTGTTTAAATCACATTATTATCTCAAACTATTATTTTGTGTTGTTCTTTGAGGATTAAAATTACAGTTTGCAAAACTTTATGAATAGTCCCCTTCACAGTTTCCTCCGCCATCTTGAAAGGTAGCCTTGATAGAGACATGTGAATAATTGTTGAAGGCTTTAAAAAAGGTCTTTGTCATTGCAAGCTCGCCGTTCGTCTCGTTTGGATGCAAAGTCTTGGCTGCCTTTCAAGATGGTGCAGCAGGGAACTGTGAAAGGACTAATATCCAGTTTGTTCTATTAATATTTTTGTCTGCAACCGGGGTACCAGTCTCTATGGAAGAGGGGCGAGAACCCGTTTAGCTCTTTAGCTATTTTTGGTAATCATAGCTGTGCTCTTTGTTTGCCATCTTTATCTCTTTTCTATATTATATTTATGTAATTTCTCGTTTCTTAACTTTGTATTTATTCATTTAATCTTACACTAATAATACAAATAAAGTTGTTTTTAAACTAATGAATAAATAAAATAAGTTTAAAAAATTAAAAAAATAAAAAGGAGAAATGAAACAAGAAGACTGGGAAACCTTACCAGCCTCACATTTTATGAGTCATATAAGACAACTGATACGATTTTTCTTCCTCTCAGATAAAGTGAAGATGATGACGATGAAGCTTGATCTAAAAGATTGGATAAAGATTGATCGAACATACGCATCGCAGCAACACGAAAAGGAGCGACTATTGGAAACACTGCGTGACAACGTGTTTGTCACCAATAACGATGAGTCGACTAAGCTGGCGAAGAGTGAACTACTACAAATGCTGTGCAAGTATCTACCAGGTAAGACTAGCTTGATCCAACGTGCTTAGGGCAGATATTTCCTTATTTCCCTCTAGCTTCTGACGAGAAGGAAAGGGGAAACCTCTGCACGGATCTGCTCGATATTCTGTTGATCATATGAGTGGAAAACATTAGAACGTCATGTTTGTAAATTAACGACTTCTGCGTCAAACTGGTATTAACGGGTTTAAAACCTGTTGTAAGTTAATTTATTAGTGAGAGATTAAGAAAGCATTTAGCATATTCCTTTTCGTCAGGCGAGTAAATTAAGGAAAATTCTGTCAAGAAGAGTCAACGACACTCATCTCACTAGAAGACGTGGATTGGAGTTCCGCCAAGGACATATATTATTTTAAGGACATTTATTATTTTATTTTAATCTATTATTTTAATATATTATTTTAATATTTTAGTAATGATTTAAAAGTCATTACTACCTATCTACTATCGTTGAAGTGCGACCCGGGAAGTTTGATGTCTTGTTTGCCGACTAGCATTTCAACAACTGTCGAGCAAAGATCTGGGAGGTTTTGGAATTATTTAAAGAATTTAGAGATAAAAAGATGTTCTCTTTAATTTTCGTAATATTCAACATCTTTCTTTATTTAGAACGATTTCCTGACAAGTTTGAAGCAAGAGAAGGAGGCGTATACAACAAAATGTTGCAGGAATTTATATCGTCCTCGGAAGAGCCTGGTGAGGAGGACCCGCTTATCAAATGCGGGCGGCTGACACAGGAGGACTGGTGCATAATGGAGTGGAGTGACGAGCATCAGGCTTATTACCTGACTGCAGGTAAGTAAAACACTGTCAATAAGATTAGTCGTTTACGTAGCTCGGTTGACCAAGTTAGTGGCGGTTGCCATTTGCGTATTTTCGTTATCACTGTCATTGTCGTTGTTATTGTCATTGTCATTAGATTGTCATAATTCAGTGTAGAGATTGACTAGGGAGTCTGGAAAGCGACTCGCCGTATCACATCTTTATTAGCGCTCGGAGATCCGAAATGGCCGATCTTAGACTATATTTGTGCTTTTATGTTTTCTGGCTAAAATACGAAAAGTCACATTTCTAACTAATTTTCTTAGAAAACTACGTTGTTCGGCTGTGAATATACTTGATTTTGCAGCGCGTTAATTACTTAGTCTTAGATTTCAGATTTCAGATAGCCAACCGATAAAGCTTTTTTGAAATAGGCGCTTACAAAATATTTTCCTTGTCACAGGTATTGTGTGCTTCCCCTCTCGCTGGTCGCTCCGAGAGAAATGGAACTTGCCAATGTTAGGTATATGACAAGTTGATAGTTATTGTCTTTTTATGTCGAGTCGTCAAATATGTTATAAAAACAATTTTGACGATGAGATTATATGAGATGGCGCAGAACGAGGTAAAAAAGAGCTGGTTCACACTATCGACGGAATCAAAATCTTATGAGAAGCTTGCGATGTAGTGTGAACCAATAATCGGAATCGGAATCGGAAGCAGAAAGGCGAAGGAAGCGGAAGGATTAAAAGTTTTTCTTCGCTTATAAGAATCGGAATCAGAAGCTTTGACCAAAGGCAGAGCTCATGTCCAGACCATTCAGAGCAGAAAACATGGCGGCCTTCTTGGTAACCCTAAGAACAACAAAGCAACGAGCGCCGAAGCGAGGATTACGATTCCGCTATTATTTGCCACGGTTCTCGACCAATCAGCAAACGAGAAATTTTACAAATAAATGCAGTGTTTAAGTATTCTGGAAGGTTAAATGGCGCTGTTACATGCAATCATAGTTAATAGAGGGGAATAAAAAGATTTCCCTCTATTTACTTTGATGCAATCAACTGGCAATCAATGGACTCAGCCTTCGACGATACGAAGGGCCATCTTGGGTCGCCATGCGTTCCGGTACGTCCAGGGGGCAATTAAAAGTTGTTACATTATAATGACGTCGATTGAAACTTACAGCTCATCACAAGAGAATACAACAAAAGATGAATTAAGACGGCACATCGATTTACTTTACCCATAAAAAAGCACACTAAACTCTATAAATTTTCCGTCATCTTTGTTTTGTTTCGCAAGATGGCCGTCGTATCGTCAAAGTAGTTCATTGGCGATCATGCTAACACAAAGCTATTGTCATTTTTATGATAATCAACACCGTCACAATCACTGTTTTATACTAGATATCCATCAACCAGTTGACGGCTTCACCAAACATCTCAAGTCTCTTGTTTACAATCTCTTCAAAACCATGGCTCCTGATGCGCCGGTGTACCGCGGAAACTGGTCGATCTCCAATGACCTTGACGGCCCGCTCGATTTGTACATACCAGAGGAATATGAGCATCACAACGCAGCCAGGGGTGGTGTACGACTATATGAAGACGAGAAAACCGGCCGTGTGTTTACCTTCCGAAGCGAGTATCAAACACTGCGAAAACTCGAGAAGAGCAAAGCGATTGTCTTTAGTATTCGCACCTACCAGATCTACTTGGAGGATTTCAAGAAATTTCCAAGGAAGGACACAGAAACGCTCGTTAAGGTCATCGAAAATATCCACCCTGACTTCGTTGAATACAAGCGCGTCGAGCTTTGGAAGGATGATGTGCTTAAGTACTTAAAACGAGATGTGCTTGGAGAGAAAGAAAGCCCTTGGATTATGAGCTCTTGGAAAACAGGGGGGTCGGCTCTTGTTGTCGGTATCTCTGTTCTTGCCGTAGCATTGGCTTTTATGAAACGTTAGTAAATCGACAAGCACAAGTGAAAACTTTGAAATTGGGACATATGAATGAACCATTCTACACCAGTTTACTTAACAGTTTTTCGAAAGCTTCCCTTTCCGCAAACGTCTGCTCAATCCTGCGCTACATTCATGGTTCCGACTCAGGCAATAGCGAGCCATGGCAATCAACCAAGAATTACTCTTGTCCCACAAACAACTATCATGCAATATCTGTTTCAAAGAGTACTACAAGGATTACGAGGCAATTTTCTATTCTATTCGCAGGACACAAAACTACTGACTACGTCACTTGAGTCCGTACGTACCGGCATCCATGTACACACCACGAGGAGCCGGCTTGATTTCAAAGCAAAACTACTCGCAAATTCACAGAAAACGTATATTTTACTTTCTACGAAACGCTGGGTCTTGAACAAACGCAGGGTTTGAATAAACGCCGGGTCAACGAGGTCTAGCTTTATAATGCTTTACAGCGCTATCAACAAATGATTATTCTATAGTTCGGTGTTGGAATCAGCTGAATGAATCTCATAAATCTCATTTCAAGTCTTCAATGACAGTCAAACACTTTGTCGCTTGTGCTATCAACCAGAGAGCATTCTATTGCTTGTTACTGTTACTATACGGTCAAAAAAGCAAACATATAATATATTTATGTTCAACAAATTCTTTATTGGTGACCAAATTGTATTTGCGAGAACACTCTGCTCAAACAATAAAAGGAAATCTCTTTATTTGATTTTGAGTTTCTAATTTACTTTGCCCCCGACAGGAATTTTTTTTGTCCTCGTATGAAGTTTATTCTTTTTTCGAATGAACGTTTTTCAATTCTTTGATTGACATCTTCTCTCTATGAACTAAAATATTGCTTTTACTGCAACTTGATATTTAATTAAAAACTCAGTTGAACTTTCAAAAGTCAGCGACTTACATAATCTATTTTTTTTAAATTGAATTTATTTACCAAGTGAGTTGTTAAAGCGAAACGACACGCTTTTCAGGGAAAAAGGCCGAAATACTGGGAAAAAAACCTTTGAAGAAAAATTGAAGCATGTCCAAACCTGTTAAGGTACTCCTTGCTCACTCGAATTCTGTGGGTGGTTAAAAAAATTGTTTTACCAACTATATATATTCATTATAGAAAGGGCGAAGGGGTAGTGCATTTACTTATCTTACGTAGAGTTTCTCGGGTCTTTCCCTTGATTCACAAAGGAGTTTTCTATAATTTCCCCAGTTTTTATCTCTTTGCAAAAACTCAGCATGCTAAAACTCCGATCTAAGCTGTAAGTTAAACGTCTTTTGACTTAGATCCGCTCAGAGCTCGAGGTTGTTTCAGCGTTTGATCTATGAGTTAGCCGTACCCTGACGTAAAACAGTTCAGGGGTTGTCTCAGAGTTTGATCTGCGAGTTAGCCATATACTAAAATAGATCAGCCCAGACAGCTCCAGAGGTTGTTTCAGGGTTTGATCTGTTTTGATCTGTGAGTTAGCCCAGGCTTTACTTTGGTCAACACAGAGGTTGTTGTTTGAGGCGGTTCCTGAAATATATGTTGTTCTTTTGCTACTATGTGTTTTTCAGGCTTTCTATGGGTGTGTAGCTGTACTATTTCTAACTTCAACCACATCCAGTTCAACCAATATTTCCAATTGGACGACCTGCGAATCACCTGATCATTCAGTCATCTGTAAATGTACAAGTGGCGCCTATACTGATGTCATTGCAAGATGTCACTTCGATCACGTGACTGATATAAGGACGATTATCAATATTCCCCAGGATTTAATTCGATTGTAAGATATATATGACATAATCAAAGCGGCAGTTGCTAAAACAAAGGTTGATTTATTCATATTAGAGTGAAGTATTGAGACAATCAAAGGTCTTCGAAGAGAAGACGTGTATTGTTTAGAACTGGTTTTTTTTTTTTTTTTTTTTTTTTTTTTTTTTTTTTTTTTTTTTTTTTTTTAATTTCTTATGAACCTTTCGCTCCTGTGCATCACTTCTATATGCCATTTGTTGAAAGAATCCAGTCAGCACATTGTACATTTGATTTCAGAAACTTGTCTGGAAACAACATAAAAGAAATCCCTCCGTACTCATTTTCCGACTACGAGCAGTTGCTTTATTTGTAAGTAGCTGTGGGTTTGATGATTTCATGATGTATTCATTCTACTGCATATGTGTATGTATAGTAGTATATTGTTAATCCATCTATTTACCCTCTAATCCATGCATCCAATCATCCGTCCGTCCGTGCGTGCGTCAGTCCGTCCATCTATCCCAAATATCAACAAACTTGATAGCAAACCAATTTCATATACGTGCGTTTTTTTTCGTGATAGATCGTTATCATCTAATAAAATACAGATTATCAGTAAAAGAGCGTTCAATGGACTGCCAAGACTACGAGAATTGTAAGTCAGTTCATGGAATATTATCAATACCTTTGCAATCGACCTTTTAACCGATACGGCGGCCATCTTTAATTCCATCTCTTTAAGTAGAACATTATAGGATGCCGAGGGGCAACTAAAATTTATAGACTGCAGCAGTGTATCTTTTTATATAAATTTACTTTGGTGTTAGATGGAAACTTAACCCTGCCATAATTCTATAGTTCTTTAAAATTCATCAGTAAAATTGTCATGTGAATTGTAATTGCCATTGCAACTTGAATTGTCATTGCATTTGTCATTGCATTTGTCATTGTCATTGCATTTGTCATTGTCATTGCTTTTGTCATTGTCATTGCTTTTGTCATTGTCGTTGTCGTTGTCGTTGTCGCTGTCGCTGTCGTTGTCGTTGTCGTTGTCGTTGTCACTGTCACTGTCACTGTCACTGTCACTTGGCATTTTTCAGGAGAAAGAAGAGTGATAGACGAAACAGTTATGTAATTACGAACAAGAGAGCNGTTGTCGTTGTCGTTGTCGTTGTCGTTGTCGTTGTCGTTGTCGTTGTCGTTGTCGTTGTCGTCGTTGTCGTTGTCACGGTCACGGTCACGGTCATCGTAATCGTCATCGTCATTGCCTCTTAGGAATCTCCAAGACAACATGATCAAACAGTGGGACACAACGTTGATTGAACAAGACCTACCAAATCTCCTCATGCTGAATATTGCACAAAATATTTATTGGAAACCAGACCAACAAATCCTTTCACTACCAAATCTGAAGATCATCTTTTTATTGCTTGCTTTCCTTCCACGTAAGCAAAGTGAAATTAGCTCTTATTTTCATTGTTACATAGCGAGAAACAATGCAAACATAAGCAACACAAACAACACCACATTTATCCAACAGCTTCCAAAAAGTATTCATGAAAAGGTGGAGCCGGACTTCATAACACACATTCCTGACAATTGTTGGCTCGATGAGCTAATTTTTCAAGATCCCAATTATAGGGGCATTATAGACAAAAGTGGCTTTCATTTCCACTGTGAAACGGTTCAGCCGAAGAGTCTCTTGGAAAAGCACAAAAGATTGACGAATTTTACTCAACCACAACAAAAGGAATGGTTTTACTAAAAAGAAACCTTAAAGCCTTACTGCTGGAACTTAATAAATAACATTCTACTTATTGGGTTAGTTAAAGGCATTTTTGCAATGATTCTTAACATTATCGTTATCACAACGACTTCAAGAAGCAGAGTTCTAAGACAGTCTGTTGCACATGTTCTTGTGGCTAATATTAGTGTAGGAGACCTGTTGATTTCATTCTACATGATCATCATTATATCAACAAGACAAAGCATGACTGCTGAGAACTATTTCAGTATGTACCTACCGTACTACTGCAGGATTGTTGGTCTCTTTTTTTTAATTGGTCAGTTTTCAAGTCCAGGCATGTCGTTTATAATGACAATAGAAAGGTATTTAGCTGTTGTATACTGCATGAGACCTCACATCAGAATCACCAGAAGAATGTCATTCGTCATCATAGCCATAATTTGGAGCATTTCAGTTTCACTGGCTGTTAGCTTCATGACTTCACCACAGTTTTCAACACAAACAGACAGCATGTGTGTTACTAGTCGTAATATGCGCAGTCAACAAGTGCTCTATTACATAGGAGGTATTGGAGTCCTATTATACGTCATCTCAATTGCCTTATATGGCCACATGTATGTGGATTTCCAAAAGACTAACCAGAAGACCGTACAGTTACAAAGGGAAAACCGTTTAGCTCGCAGGATTGCACTCATCATGTTCACCAATGTTCTCTTCTTTATCCTTCCATTAGCCGTGATTGCAGCTGTTAACGGTTTCCAGGACCATATCTCCAATGCAACTCTTCACATATTTTGGAACACCTTTGGTATAACGTTTTTGGGTATCAATCCTTATATTGCATCAATCCTATTTTATTTTCGTTCAGGAATGAGCAATTTCGAAGTGAATTTTGGAAACTGCATCGACTTTGTCGTGGAACTGTTGATCTTCAGCCTTGATTCCAGTTATTGCTTGTTGGGGGTTCTTAGATATAGTTTGTGTTTGGATATATTTTATGTGCACTCAATTGCAAAATCATTATCGGATTCAAAAACATAGAACATAGAAGCTGAGGCCAAAATGGTACATGGGAAATACGTTTATTAGATCTATCTAATGATATAACTCGAATGATGTTCATAAATAGACCTCTTTAGCATCGTTGTTTGTTGTGCACATTTCAGATCATGTGATGCCCGCTTTTGGGAGTTGATTCTTTCATGTGTAAATTTGACATGTTTGTCATAAAAGAACAATTCTCAAAAGCCAAAGAGGTCTATTAAAGCGGCACACTGACAGAAAGCTGGGAGGCCTTTTTTTGTTAAAACACAGGTTTCATATTGATTGTGTATCTTAAATGAATACATCAGAGGATACTTAGGGATCAGTCATTATTTAAGTCTACCGCAAGACATTATTGCTAATGACAATGACATATTTATATACTATTCCTTCTTTTATTTTCATCATATTTGCAATTACAGTGAATTCTTCGAGGTTATTTTATTTTATTTATTTATTTATTTATTT